ACGAATGTGCTTACTTTTGCAAACATAGCTCCAGGACAAGTCCTGTGGCTTCATTTCCAACTAGACTGCCATCGTTAAGCCTATCTAGTATAGCAGCGCTTGGGCCACCACTGAGTGCATTATCCCTTTTTTCAGATGAGAAAAGAGACACAAGTAATTTGCCCAGGTCTCACAACTAGTTGCTGACAGACCTGGTATTCAAAGTCAGGTTTGTCTGATTCCAAAGCCAAAGTTTTAACATTACAAATATACAAATTAGGAAGGAGCACAATGAAAGAGTGGTCAGTTTTACTTGGGAAGGCCAAGTCAGGCTTTGTAAAGAAAGACACTCCTTACAGAGGTGTTGAAGAATGAAGTTATTTGTCCTGACTAATATCACCTTATCCTTCACAGTAGCTTTTACTTTGCAAAGTGAAACAGCAGGGCAGATTTTTACAGTCTGAGCAAATTTTTGCTTTCTTAGTTTTCAAAGGACTTTGAATTTCCATGATCTTTCACATAGTCAGTATGTTAGAGTGGGTACTATGGCCAGGGCTGGCTTCTTGGACGTGCAGCTAGTGCAGCCACACAGGGTCCGCACTGAGAATGGCTTGGGTTTAATGCTCTGCTCTTGTACCCTTCAAAATCTTAATCTCATTGTCTTTGAATTTGTGTGTGTGTGTGTGTTTTTTCTTCTCCTCAAAGCCCCCCAGTGCATAGTTGTATATTCTAGTTGTAGGTCCTTCTGGTTGTGCTACGTGGGATGCTGCCTCAGCATGGCTTGATGAGCAGTGCTAGGTCTGTGCCCAGGATCCAAATTGGCCAAACCTGGCCACCGAAGTGGAGTGTGCAAACTTAACCACTCGGCCACGGGGCCTGAATTTGTGTTTTTTAAGTGAAATTTGATAGAATGATGGAGCAAGCCCAGGGGTTTTGGAGCCTCAGCTTCCGAGCAGTCTCAACTCCCATCCTCTCCCTACCTCCTCTCAGGTGCCCACTCTGCTGGCACCCATCCTTTCCCCAGCCAATCCTACCACTGCTGCTCACCTCTGTTGGAGCAGCAACTGCACCACATTGCCGGGAGGGGTGAGGGGGAAATCTCATGTTCTGCCATTGCCCTCCACCCCTAGCCCCCATGGGTGCCTGGGCACTGACCAGGAGATGATCAGGGTCAGGCACTGCTTCCCAACCCCTTCCTGTGTCTCTGAGTTGGGTAAGCTGCCATCCCTGACCTAGGCTGGCAGCACCACGGCAACTGGCCGGGGCCTCTCATCCACCCCTGTGCAAATACCGAATGTGGCCAGGTGCAGAGGCACCAATCCCTTAGGGCTTGCCCATACCCTGTGGGAAGGGGTCTTGACATCCCTGCCTCCAGCCAGGACCCCACATTTTCACTTTTCACTGGGCCCTGCAAATTAAGTAGCTGGCCCTGCCTATGCCCTTTATTATCTCTGTGTCCTTGAGCAAATTACTTCATCACTCTGTGCCTCCGCTTCTATCTAGGATGATAGTAACAGCAATAATAATTATCTCAAGGTGGTTGGAGATTGTTGTGAAGATTAAAGGTGATCCAGATGATGCCTTGGAAGCAGCAAGAACTAAAGAGGTGATGGCTGTCCTTAGTACAATCCCACAAAGCAGGACATAAATTTACTCCTTTCCAGGGACTGTAGAAAGAGAAGCAAAGTGACTTCTCCCCGTAACCAGCTGAAGGACTTTGTTTGACAAAGAGATTTTGTTTGTTTGCTTATTTGTTTTTAAATTTTGGCCCAATCCTTGGACTAAAGCTAATGGCTTTTATTTCTAATCCACCACACCAACTGTCCCTCTCTTCAAGCCATGCTGCATTATAATAATTACTTTATTCTGCTCTTCAGCGTCCATTTGTGGTCAGGTTGGTTTGCAATGTGATGATTCTGGAAACTTGACACAACCACTGCATCCATACACTCTCAGAAAGCTATAGCCAGGAAGTGAGGAAAGTTTTTAAAGACTGGAAAGGTTGGCTGCTTCCAGGGGCAGTTTTGACTCAGTGATGAAACCCCACATTTTCCTTAAGAAGCATTTAGGAATGAGGACAGAGGATAAGCTAACATCTGTTTCCATCTTGCTCTTAAGATTCTCCAGCTATCATCATATTTTCACTTGATCTTCAGGGTGTGGGTCAAATCTCTGTGGGAGAGACTCTCTCAACTGATTGAAAAATTCCTGTCATGCTGAGGGCAAATAATTCTCCATCTATTAATAAACACAGATGGTAGCCCTTAGACTTTGAAATATTTTAATTTACACATAATAGTTTTAAGGTCACTCCTTTCTCCTAATGTTGCCCTAGGCTTTCTTGGAGAATTATAAATAGGAACAAATCTTAGCTCACATAGAAACGAGTGCCAGACCAAAGCCAGTGCTCTTTCCTCCCACAGACGCTGAAACCCACAGCACACTCCCAGATGGGGGAAGTATTGTCCTCTGGCAGATAGTCAAGCCTAGCTATTTGCATTTCCTCCTTTTTGGAGTCACTTGAAGCAGCCTACTTGTCTGTGTTGCTCATCTTTATCTAACAGGTGCCAGGCACCTAATAGGAATTCAATAAATATTTGCCCCTGAGTGAGTGAATGAATGGGGATTAAATGAAAAGCAGCCTGGGCATCAATTGATTAGTAAGGAGGGAAACAAGGGTTCAAATTCCAGCATCCAAGTTAGACCCTGCACTTCACTCGGATCACTCGGATACAAACCAGGACCTGATTTGAAAATAAATAAATAATATGTACAATATATTATGTTGTTATAATAAACAAATTACTAAACAAACAATATTCAAGGACTAAAATGCGAGTGTTATTTAATGGCCACCTGCCAAACTTCAATTTTAGCAAACGGTCCAGATCTGAAGACTTGCCCTCTTCTTTCACTAGAAACAGAAAATTCCTTAGCCTCTTGCTGCTACCATGGGTCTTTCAACTCTCCTCTCAAGATGGTGAGGACTAGACCTGGATTAAGAAGCATTTGGATTGTTCTCAATCTGGCGGTGCCACAATATGAGGGCCTGCTGGGAAGACTCAGCCATTGTAAACAAGGACTTACCAGTGGGTTTTGTTTTTTTTTAAAGATTGCCACCTGAGCTAACAACTGTTGCCAATCTTTTCTTTTTTTCTTTTGTTGTCTCCCCAAAGCCCCCCGGTACATAGTTGTGTATTTTTAGTTGTGGGTCCTTCTAGTTGTGGCATGTGGGACACTGCCTCAGTGTGGCTTGATGAGTGGCGCCACGTCCGCGCCCAGGATCCGAACCAGCGAAACCCTGGGCTGCCAAAGCAGAGCTCACGAACTTAACCACTCGGCCACAGGGCCGGGCCTTTGTTTTCGTTTTTACAAAACGCATAACCTAAGCTGGTCACATGGTGGGGGGCTTGAAGAGCCTACTCTGTGATCTGTAGTCTGTCTTCAAAACACAGGTTAATGGCTTGATTGATTTATTCATTAAATAAAGGTTTGCCGATGTTCTGCTGCGACTCCTCTCTTAGCTTCTCCCAGTGAGACTAGAAGTTCTCGAGAGGAGGGATGGTCTCCTTTATAACTAGCACCGAAATACCCAATTGGCTCACTTAATTAGCTCACTTAATATTGTAGCATTGGGCACTACAACATTAAGTGAGCCCTTAGAACAGGAGAAACAGAGATTCTCATCCATTATGGGGGGTTGGGAGGGGTAAATTAATGGGGCCAGAGGGAGGGCAACTTTGCAATATGCGTCAAAAACTGTATCCGGAATTTCACTTCTCAAACTTCTCCTACAGATATATTCTTACTGGTATAAAATGCCTTATGTCCAAGCTTACTCACTGTAGCAATTTTTGCAACAGCAGGAGATTGGAAAAGACCTAAATGTTCATCAATAGGAATGGGTTGAATAAATTATGGTACAGCCCTAGAATGGGATGCTATGCATCTGTAAAAAAAGAATAAGAAAGTTCTTTAGGTAGAGGCTGTAAATTTAGTGGTTAAAAGCAAATATTCTGGGCTGGCCCTGTGGCCAAGTGGTTAAGTTTGTGCGCTCTGCTTTGGCGGCCCGGATCCTGGGGTGGACCTAGAACTGCTCATCAGGCCATGCTGAGGCGGGGGTCCCACATGATAGAGCCAGAAGTACTTACAACTGGAATATACAACTATGTACTGGGGTCGGGGGGGCTTTGGGGAGAAGAAGAAGAAGAAGCCAAAAAAAAAAAAAAGGAAGATTGGCAACAGTTGTTAGCTCAGGTGCCAATCTTTAAAAAAACTTAAAAAAAGCAAATGTTCTGGAGTCAGACTGCCTCGGTTCGAGTCCTGGCTCCACCACTAATTAGATGTGTTACGTTTAAGTAGGCATTCATCTTCCTGGACCTCAATTTTCTCACCTATAAAAATGACGGTTATGAGGATTCTCTTTTTTTCGTTTGTGAGGAAGATTGTCCTTGAGCTAACACCTGTGCCAGTCTTCCTCTATTTTGTGTGGGGGACAGTATGGCTTGATGAGCGGTATGCAAGTCTGCACCTGGGATCAGAACCTGTGAACCCTGGGCCAGCAAAGTGGAACTCACAAACTTAACCCCTGCACCACCAGGCTGGCCCTGGGCTATGGGGATTCTAATGGCATCTACTTCATAGGATTGTGGTGAGGATTAAATAAGTTAATAAATAAGTGTTTAGAGTGTTGGCACATAAAATGTGTGAGCCAAGATACATTCAGTGATTAGCGCAAGGCACAGAACAGTATGCGGAGTAGGCTACCATTTGTGTAAAAAAGGATGGAAATAAAGACTAAATATACCTATCTCTTTATATATGCATAGGACATCTTTGGATACATACAAAGGGAACTATGGCATTAGTTGCTTTTAGAAGAGGAAGCTGGGTGGAAGAAAGATTGAAAGAAGAGTTTTTACTATGCACTCTTTTTTCCCTTTGGATTGTGAACCATGAGACTTATTACCTATTCCAACAATAAATAAATTGAAAATTTAATATATATACACACACACATATATAGCTATCTCATGTAGTTTTTAATTGAGGCAAAAGTCACATAATAAAAATTAGCCATTTAAAAGTAAACAATTCAAATATGTTGAATTTTAATTTTAATTTAAAAACAAGAGGCTTTAACAAGACCTTGCCATCTTCTGCATCTGCTTGTCTTGGCGTTAGTCCCCAAATCATCTCATCCATTAAGGTCTGCTCCCAATGCCATCACCTCTTTGACACCTTCCTTAGAGACTGTTGGGACCAGTCCAGACCTCTTCTGAATTCCTAAGCATCCAGAATCTGCAGGCTGCCTTGGCCGTGAACTTGAATATGTCTTGGAACCACTGCAACAGGTCCATGTCTTTGTCTTCTTCCCTAGAACTATGCCCGGAGTTTCTCACAGTCCGAGGAGGCCCTCCTGTGCTTCTTGATACTCCCCACGGTGCTTCCTCAGTGCTTCGAAGAGATTATCAGACGGATGGAAAAGCCTTCAGAGCCTGCCTGAACCCTGGAAGCCTCTGGGACGAGGAAACCGCGCCCTCTACAGGGCTGTTTGAAAAGTGGTCCTCGAGGAACGTATTCTCGGCACAGGCTGGGGAGTTCCTCAGCTGGGGCACAGGATCAAGGAAAATGATAAAGGTGCAGGCTGGCCCGTTCCTTCCCCGTCCTCCTTCTCCAGGCCCCACCTGGGCACACTGACTGGGTCTGCAATCACATGAAGCATGCAGTAGAAACTCGGCTTGACTCAGCTGCGGGCTACCCCTGGAGACTAAACAACTACTCCCAGAGCTGGAAAAAGAATTCATTTTGAACAGCCAGGAGATCATAAGGACCAGAGAAACCAGTAAAACAACTTGCCCAAGATCACACTGCTGGTCAGTGCCACCCTGAGACTTATTTCTTTAATGCAATCTGATTTCTGAACATGAATTTTAAGCCACCCTGGCCTGACGCAGGCCACTTAATCTGGTTCTCTCTGAGCTTTACCTTTGTCACTTCAGGTCTAAGCCAGTCACAGTCCATTTCAGAGCTCCGTTGCATGTTTCTGCCCCTAGTCTCTGGGCTGAATTGAAGGCCCTAGGATGCACAAAGCCCCAGTCAGGCCTGAGGCAGGCTGGGGCAGGTTGCCCATCTCTCTGACCTGGTCCCATTGCTTATCCTGTGTGTTCCTGGGCAGGGAAGATGCCTCTTTCAGAGGGTGCTAACTTGGGCCTGCAGTCACTCTGTCTTGCCCCTGTGCAGCTGGCTGGCATGGCAATTCCTCCGATATGCGGCTAAATCCTGATCCCTGGCGTGGTTTGTGCCCTATCCTTGAATGGGTGTGCCCATTTCCTCTGCCAGGCAACCTCCCAGTAGCACCTTGGCCCTCTCTCCTAATTACTGTCTGGGTCTCACTTGGGGGCCATGGAAAACTGTGGATCATTTCTCGACCTCATGAGAGACGGAAGAATCAAGGGTTTTTGCAAGCTCTTTAGCATCTAGAAAGGCCATGTGCTATTTCGACTACTCTATGCCTGGGGGAAGGAGAGCTTTCACATGGCTGCCACACTCCAAAAGTCTCATACTGGGGTGCCAGCCTCAAGCCCACTCTTCTCTCAGTTCCCTAAAACGATGAGGTAACTGTGGGGCACAGGATAAGTTCAGGGACACTCCCTGCTTTGCACTCTGCTCTCTCTCCCCCAAGCTAGCTCTCTCCCCAGCTCACAGCCTGGGGTGTGTGTATGTGTGTGTGTGTGTGTGTGTAACTCTCTCTCCAGCTCACAGCCTGGGGTTTGTGTGTGTGTGTGTAACTCTCTCCCCAGCTCACAGCTTGGGGGGTATGTGTGTGTGTGTGTGTGTGTAACTCTCTCCCCAGCTCAGAGTCCTGGGGGGTGTGTGTGTGTGTGTGTGTGTGTGTGTGTGTGTGTTTGTGGTGGGAGGGAGGAAGCAGCAGACAGAAAAACCTGTTATTTTGGTCTCCTCTCCATTTCAAATTTCTTTTGACTCACTCCAGGATAACAGAAGTCAAGATCTAGCATCTGATCCAGAGATAATCTCCAGGAGAGAGGCATGAAAAATCTTGCTGATGTCTCAAATTATTACAATTGACACAACTTAATGCTTTACATGTCATCCAATCATATGAAAGCTGTGTATCACAAAATAAAAAGAATATGTTATTCCTTCTTGATTTTTAACTGAGATCAAAGCTTTAAGTTTAGGGGCTGGCCTGGTGGTGCAGTGGTTAAGTTCGCACGTTCCACTTCATGGCAGCCCGGGGTTCACAGGTTCGGATCCTGGGTGCGGACATGGCCCCACTTGGCAAAAAGCCATGCTGTAGTAGGAATCCCATGTATAAAATAGAGGAAGATGGGCATGGATGTGAGCTCAGGGCCAGTCTTCCTCAACAAAAAGAGAAGGATTGGCAGATGTTAGCTCAGGGCTGATCTTCCTCAAAAAAAAAAAAAAGCATTAAGTTTAGATCTTAGAATTTCTGGTACTACAGAGCTGGTTGGGGAAAAATGAGGGACCTGGTATCCAGGCTGTTTATTCTCTAATTTGAAGGAAGATGGCACTGAGAGGATCTTTTCTTCTTTTCGAGTTTTGCTCAGGGCTGAATGTTTTGAAAATCTAGCAGAACAGTAGGAGGACACAGTTATCCTCAGAGGAGGGCCACTCGTGTCAGGAGCCTACGATCTTAGCGAAGAAGGAATCTGTTGCTGTCATGAGGGCCGAGAGAACCTTCTCAAATAAAAACATGCCTCCCCACTGGGATATTTGATCTTTGCTCAAAGTGCAGTCAGGCCTGTTTTGAGCTTGGCTAACCCATTCCCACCCACTGAAAACCTGAAAGGCTTATTGTTCAGGTGGCCGTAAAAGAACACAGAGGCTGTGAAAGGCCCACTGTTTTATGTTTGAAATAGTCGTCTGTCCCAGGGTTTAAATGTAATCAAAATTGTTTTTTAAAAATCTTTTTTGTCCAAAGGCAAAAAGAGATTGTAAGGAAAGAAATGGCTGAGCTGCAAAGAAACATAGCACTATTTCTTACAGCATAACTTTTCTGCTTGAGCACCGTTAATGCTCAGCCATTTCCCTGCTTCCCTATTTCCCTCCAGAACACTGGAGTCCATTCACCATTCATTCACCTGGTCTCTGGAACGGATTCTGAGGGCAGCCAAATACTAAGCAAGGCAGTCTCAGACTTTGCAAACATCTTTCATGGGTTCAAGAAATCTGAGACGAAGTTTTACGGCTCAGCTGAACTGGAGGCCCAGAAAGAGAAGGGAAAAAATTCATTCATTCTCTCGCCTCATGTGAGACAACATCAACTGAAGAGAAAACACTAAGAGAAACTTAATTTGGAACCCAGTAAGGTCAGAGAAGTAATCAATTCACTTTTAGGAGGAAGTCTCTCTGCTCTACTTTTTTCCTGGTCTCCGCATGGGCCAGGGTGACTGACACCTTCCCCAACCCCAAAGGCTCGGCTCTTTCTCTCTGTCAGAAAAGGAGCGCCCTGCATGGGCTGATGATACCAGCTGACCTCTGAGGCAGCAGGATGTGCACCGTGTGGAGAGAGAGGGTGAGGGCTTTGCTCTGGGGGTTATACTGCATGTTCTAGAACAGGCAGTGGCAGGAGATGAGGCTGGAAGGACAGGTTGGAGCTACAGTGTTTGGGGTCCTGAATGTCCTGCTAAGGATTTTGGAATTTATCCTTAGGCAAGTGGAGCTATTGGAGGCTTTTTATACCATTTTCTTCTTTTTGGAGAATTATTATGTAGTAATTACTTAAGAATTATTAAGTACTCATTTATTATTATGTAGTAAAATTTATTATAGAAGCCTAATCAAATAGAAATAAAAGTCCCAAACTGAACAAGCCATAATCATACTACAAAGGGGTAACCAGTGGAAACATTTTGGGGAAGAATGGTTATCTATTAAAACAAAAAGGGATAATATTTTACAAATGGTTTTATAATCTGATGTTTTTCATTAAACATTATAAAGTAAATTTCTCGTCTTATTCTCTTACATAGTTACTTTCAACTTTTTTCCTGACCTAACATCCCTGCGAAAGCTGACACCCTCTCAGGAGTACCAGGCGTTGAACAAGAGTGGTTTTTAAGGAGGGGGCACTCTCCTTAGAATCACTGCTCTCTAACATCATTTAGACGGCTGAGCTGTATTTCATTAAAATGCTTATTGAACATTTCAGTTATTTCTAATCTTACACACTTGCCAATAATGCTTTAGTAAATATATTTAAATTTGTAGTTTTGTATACTTATCTGATTAGATTTAATTCTTTAAAATAAATTCTTTGAAGTTCAGTTGCTGGGTCAAAGGTACTATCTGTATATTTGCAGTAAAAAAAAAAGAAAGAAAGAAAGAAAGAAAAATAAATCAGATGTCGACTGAGCTAGCATCCCTTGCTTTTGCGTTTGAGATCCTGGTATTACTAGCTCAGACCTTAATATTTTCAATCTTTATAATCTTTGTCAATCTGGTTGACAAAAAGGCTATTATCTTTTTTTAAATTTGTATTTATTAGATTACTAGTAAGGTTGAAAATTTGTTTTCATATGGCTATTAGCCATTTATATGTCTTTTGAGAATTGTCCACCCATGTACATTACCCACTTACCTTTTAAAGAAAGAAGCCTGTATCTTCCTATTACTTATTACCAAAATATTCTGTGTTCATTGTCAAATCATCTGAATCAGATAAAAAAGTCATCCAGGATCTTATAATCCAGAGATAGCCAAAGTTAATAGGTTTGAATTAGGACTTTTTCTATGTGTGTGTGCATATGTGGATCTATGTACTGCAAAAGTGGACCCTTACACAGATACTGGTTTTACATACATTATTTGTGAACATTTCAGCATGCCAATAAATACATAGCTACATCATTATTTGTAATGATCCACTACATGGATGTCCCATTTTTCCAATTCTTGACCATTTAGGTGGTAAATCTATACCTGTGTCCAATTCTTTTCTTAGTGGAATTAGATTCAAAGGATTTGAACATCTCTATTACTATCAACTCTTTGATATATTATGTTGTAATGGTTTCCCCCAGTTGTCTTTAAATTTTATTTATTCCAGGATACAGTAGTTTTATATTCTCAGTAATAAAATTCATGTCGATTGATTTTCACATATTGAGCCAGCCTTGCATCCCCAAGATAAACCCCACTTTGTTGTGGTATATTATTCTTTATATACATTGCTGGATATGATTTGATAAATCTTCTATTAAGCATTCTTCAATCTAATTTCATCGGGTATATTGGTTTGAGCTTTCTTTGAACTTTTTTACTTTGTTTTGGTATCAGGGTAATGTTGGCCTCATAAAATAAATTGGGGTAGAGCCCTGGAAAAAAGTTATTATAAAATTACTCATAACTAACTTTATAGGGTCACTTACCCTGGCTCCTCCTTCTCCCCAATCCGCTCAGTATGTTCCTTGGGACTCCCCTTTTCAATCCTCTATTTCTGGGCCTTTAGTTACTGCAGCTTGCCACACACTTCTGTGGCTATACTCCTGTCCAAGGCTAAGCAGTGTTTACCTCTGGAGGGTGAAACATAGCAAACTGTCAGACTGATGATATTTCAGTTCTGGTCATCTCCAATCTGCTTGCCACCAATTACATTTCCGAGTCATCAAATTGCTGTTCTATGCATTTAATCCAGATTTCACAGCTGTATTCAGAGGGAGAACCTGGGAGAAGGGTGCCTACTTCATCTTATTGGGAACTAGAACTTTTTCTTTTTCTGGGAGATTAGTCCTGAGCTAACATCTGCTGCCAATCCCGCCCCGCCCCCCCCTTTTGTTTTTGCTGAGCAAGACTGGTCCTGAGCTAACATCCATGCCCATCTCCTTCTACTTTATATGGGGGATGCCTGCCATAGCATGGCTTGACAAGCGATGCATAGGTCCATACCTGGGATCCGAACTGGCGAACCCCAGGCTGCCAAAGTGGAACATGCAAACTTAACCGCTGCGCCGCTGGGCCAACTCCGGAACTAGAACTCTTAAGTTTGGTTTCAATTACTAATTTAGTTGTAGCTCCCCTTCCACTTTACTAAATACTAAGCCCTCTCCTTTCATCTCTTTTGATATACACTGAGATTTCATAAAAAGAAAAAAATTTAAGAACTCATACAATTAAGAATTTTGCCATCTAGAAAAGCCTACTTATCTTTTAGCCCATTTTTGATCTCAACTCCCACAGCCTTTTCTTCCACCTCTTTCTCTTAGTCCAAAGAGCAGAAAAGAAGACCCGCAGGCTGCTCCAATGTTACTAGGAGGTTTCCAGGAAATATGAGTTTGGTCTCTGCTCTGAAATAAAGGATTCCCTTAAGGCTGTAGCTTGCTTAAATTTCAGGCCTCCTTCCTGACATTTCTCTTGAAAGAATGAATGAAGGAAGCGCATCAAGTGTTTCTTTTGACTGTCCTTTACATTAAGTGTGGGAGACAAGTATCTTCGTGTATAGCGGAGAAACACATGATCACACGACCAAAGAGTTTGGAATAGAGAGTAATTTTAGAGATCGGGCCTCAGTCTTAACAGATGTCGTTGCACATTAAAATTGGGAGAGTCCATAGGTGAAACGGCCAGGGTCTGAGATGCAATAAAACCAAATGCCCACAGGACCAGCCTGGAAGACAAAACAGGGAATGGTAGAGGCTGTGGTAAACTGTCCAGAACAGACATTGTCTTAAATTTATCCTCTGGCGGGAGCAGCCATCACTCTCAGTTTTAGCTAACTGTTACCACATAAAAAGGCATGACCTCCGTCATTGGGTCTCCCAATTTTTCAAAAGAAGTCAAATTGGGATTTCCATATGAAATCTTTAATATTGGCTCAGAGTTTCTAACAGTATTAGGGCCAAATAAGCCAGCTATAACCTGGATATAGTGCATAAGGTATCATTCCCGACTTCTGGCTCAGGTAAAAGATAAAAATGCAGAATAAAGAAGATGGAATTCTCTTTTTTTTCCATCCTTACTTAACCACTGATCTTTGAAAGAGATATAGCGTTTTAAGTTCCTTAGAATGAAGAAGGGAAAAAAAAGCTGATGGTTAGGCCTTAGTAGACCAAAATTGGGATACTTAAAATCTATTTGTACACCATGTCTTAAGTATTAAAATTCTACAAAAAGAGGCTTGGCTAAAAGACACATCTATAGGAGGTACACGGCATAAAGGTTAAAAGTTCAGGTTTTGACGTCAACAGTACTCTGTAAGTATGTAGCTTTCTGACGATCTGACCCAATTCAAGACTGTGTCATCCAAATAATCTTTTATTGCAGCAACAGCAAGTTGCTTAACCTCAAACCCTAGTTTGCTCATGTGTAATGATCACCTCCCATGTAGCAATGTTGTGAGGATGAAATAACGTATACTGTTTAGCACAGTGACGTGGAGTCACTTAAAGGTCTTTTGAGTAGCAGTGACATGATCAGATAGATACTTTAGGAGGAATAACCTAGGGGTTGTAGGCTGAATAAATAGTATAGAGATTGGAGGCAGAAAGAAAAAAAGCAAGACTGGACTTTGGATATAGACAGATTTGGAAACAATTTTAACAAAGGGAGTATCTGAAACTTGGAGGATGAGGAGATCATCAATAGCATATACACATACAGAAGATGCTGATGACAGAACCATGGGAAGTTCTACTTAGAAGCAGAGAAGGAATGTTCAGAGACGTAGGGGGAAAACCCTCTATCTGTAAGTTGAAATCAATTTAGTTGTCTTTTCATTCAACAGTTCTCTTTTTTTTTTTGAGGAAGATTAGTCCTGAGCTAACATCCGTGTCCGTCTTCCTCTACTTTATATGTAGGACACCTGCCACAGCATGGCTTGACAAGTGATGTGTAGGTCTGCACCTGGGATCCAAACTGGTGAACCCCAGGCCGCTGAAGTGGAATGTGCAAACTTAACCGCTGCGCCACCAGGCCTGCCCCAGATTGCCTTTTTTTTTTTGAAGATTTTATTTTTTTTCCTTTTTCTCCCCAAAGCCCCCCAGTACACAGCTGTATATTCTTCGTTGTGGATCCTTCTAGTTGTGGCATGTGGGATGCTGCCTCAGCGTGGTTTGATGAGCAGTGCCATGTCCGCGCCCAGGATTCGAACCACCGAAACACTGGGCCGCCTGCAGCGGAGCGCGCAAACTTAACCACTCAGCCACGGGGCCAGCCCCTCAGATTGCCTGCTTTTTAACAAAGCATTTCAGATTAGGTTAGATTAGTTACTAAACTGATTAAATAGTCCTCTCCAAACTGAAGACCCTATTTCTCTAAGTACCATGTCTTACTTGGGACTGTATTAGGATAAAGTGAATATAGTAGCTTTGTATTTAAGACAGAACCAGTTTAAGTATTCTTCAAAAATAGTATTCAGGCTTTAAGTTAGTCATACAACTGCTTCCTATTTTCAGATTTTATTTTACATCTAGTATTATTACACTAAGCAAGATAAAGGAAGACTAAAATTACCCATACACTACAGTTAATCAATAAAATTACTTAGAGAATGGGAATATTATGATTTGCTGAATATCCCAATTAACTTATTGCTATGTATCTGTGGCTGCTAACAAAATACCTTTAACACTAAATTAAAAATTTAGTTTTGGACTCTAGAGTACATTATGGTTGCTGCTTTAAAGGATGTTTATTAAAGCATGATTCATGTACCACTTGCAAGGGAACCACCTATAATTAAAGAAAAAACCTAATTTGGAATGACTCCATAGTGATTGTTAAAAACGCAGTTTTCCTATGTGATTCATATGGAACAATCTCCAAGATTCCAAGATAAATTAAGTGAAAAAAAGGCAAGGTGCAGTACAGTACTCACGGTATGCAGCCATTTGAATAAAGAACAAAGGGGTGCCCACATTCATGCTAATATGTGCACAGACCGTGTGTGCAAGGATGTACAAATGGGTAACACTTCCTGCTTCTGGGAAGGGGCAAGGCAAGGCAGAACACATTTTATGCCATATACTCCTTTACACCTTTTGACTTCTACAACATGTGTACGAACCATCCACTCAAAACGTAAGAGAAAGCCATCTTAAAATGCACATTCTCAGGCTTATCCTGGCCCTCCTTAGTCAGAATCCTTGGAATAAGGGCTTAGAAATCTTAATTTTTAGAATGTTCCCAAATGACTGTCATGACAAACCATTGCTATCAACATTATCTTTCTATGACACTACAAAATTTGCCCTCTATTAGGTAAAACGAAAAATTTGATAACTGTCAAATTCAGTATAAAAAACGGTGGCTCCACTAAAGCAACTGTTTATAACTTAAATTCATAACATATTGACAACATAATAGCACAACCAAGCAAAACCAAGACTTATCCTTTTTGTCAATAAACAGGAAGAATGATTTAAAATACTCGACTTAAAAAAATCTTTTGCTATGCTGTTCATGCAACTTTGCATTTTAAATTCTAGCTTAGGGGCTGGCCCCGTGGCTGACTGGTTGAGTTCGCGAGCTCGGCTTCAGCAGCCCAGGGTTTGGATCCTGGGGGCGGACATGGCACCGCTCAGTAGGCCACGCTGAGGCGGTGTCCCACGTGCCACAAATAGAAGGACCCACAACTAAAATATACAACTATGTATTAAGGGGATACGGGGAGAAAAAAGCAGGAAAAAAAAAAAAAGATTGGCAACAGTTGTTAGCTCAGGTGCCAATCTTTAAAAAAATAAAAATAAAAAAAATAAAAAGAAGTACCAATTCAGTTTACCTTAAAAAAAAAATTCTAGCTTATTCAAAGAAATAGAAAAAACAATAGGGAAGACAAGGAAAATTCTAATTGGAATGCATTATGTAATTGGGGGTGGGTGAGAGGAATCAATTTATTTTATTTGGGATATCATTAAATTACTGCAACATAAGTATGATTAATAACAGGGAAAGCCAGCCTGAGATGCAAAGAACTAATAAGTAAATTAGTTGCCGAAACAACTGGTTCAAGAATGCATTAACAGGGTGATAACCAATGCTTCTTTTGACCAGAGAGTCCTGTTTAAAAAATTGTCAAAGCAGAAGAAAAGATACTAACAAATATTCAATCCAAGTTATTTCATCCATGAGTTAATGTGGGTCTAGCACCAGCTATGAAAACAATTAAGCCATGCAAAAAATAACTAATACTGAAATAATTTCAGTACAAAATTTAAATGGCACCAGTTGTATATCCCGATGAAGACACCCAAACCAAAAGCAAAATTTTGAAACGTGGGCTGATAACATTTTGAGAACATAACCACAAGATGAAGGGAGCTGCCTGGCAAAGTGCTGAGCATAAACTTTGAAACCTGGCTCTCAATTTCAATTCTGTCACGTAAATTGACAGGTGATATTTAATAGCCAATCTGGGCTTCGACTCTCTCATTTGAAAAATAAGAAATATAGTGCCTTCACTTATTCTTATTGTTATGATAGTTTTAAAATGGGAAAAGGGGGGCCAGCCCGGTGGCACAGCGGTTAAGTTCGCATGTTCCGCTTCGGTGGCCTGGGCTTCGCTGATTCGGATCCCGGGTGCGGACATGGCACCGCTTCGCACGCCATGCTGTGGCAGGCGTCCCACATATAAAGCAGATGATGGGCATGGATGTTAGCTCAGGGCCAGTCTTCCTCAAAAAAAAAAAACAAACAAAAAAAAAACAAAGGGCGAGGAAAGGTATGAAAAGCATGATGTCTAGCATAATGTCTGTTACTAGTGTGTGATGTCAGTTCTTTCCTCTCTTAAGAGAACCTTGAGAAGTTTGTGAGA